GCTCGGCACCTAATAGGCAGCTCAGCCCTCTGGTCAGCTCATCACCTAATATGCAGCTCGGCCCTCTGGTCAGCTCGGCACCTAATAGGCAGCTCGACCCTCTGGTCAGTTCGGCCTCCAGGTCCTCACCCAGCAAAATTCTCCACTTCGGCCTCTGAGTCATCGGCCACTTGGAAGTAGACCAAATGATGAGGTACTCAGCCAAAAAATTGATACATAACCAAAAATCGCTACATCACTTTCCAGTAAGGCTACAACTAGGGCCAAGTTGGCCCGAAACCAACCCAAAAATGTTGGGTTGGTTGGGTCGGGTTGATGCTCGGGTTAGGGTTAGGGTTAGGGATAGGGCTGAAATTTACAAACTTGGCTTTACTTCGGATTGGGTTAGGGTTGACTCCTCAGGTAACCCGACCCAATCCGAACCCAATTCAATAGTACATATCATATATAAATATATGCTATATATGATATATCATACACTGATTTGTTTAGATGCACGATAGTTGTAAAGCCCCCACCACATACTATCATTTATTTCTTTTAAGATAATCACTTYACTTARTCYTAATTGGAAATACTAAAACCTTAATAACATATTTTATGTTTTTTGAATATTTTATTCTGTCTCCTCTCTTTTGTTTTCCACTCATAGCTTGTTGCCCATAAAAGATCTATTATAAGTCATAACTCATAATAAAACTATAGTCATTTCAAACACTTTTTTCTGAATTTTGCACTTAAAGAACCAATAAAAACATCAACAAACAAATACTAATAAAACGTAGGATTAATATATGTAGTGAAAGTTGAGTTAAGATCTGAGATTAAGAAGTTCTACGAGATTTTAAGGGATGGGAAGAATGTTGAGTTGGGCCCAACCCATTGGGTTAGGGTTGGATAGGTCAGGTTAGATTAGGGATTTAGAACTTAGGGTTGGGCTAGGGTTGACCTCAACCCGACCTAATCTAGACCAACTTGCATCCCTACTTTCCAGGATCTCAATATGTTTGGTGTCGAACCCATTCTGACGCATTTCCAAGCTACTCATCCGATCATCGAAGTTAGCCATGGCGGAAGTGGACAAACCGTGCCACTCTGATACCAAGCTGATATCGAACTCTTCTCTTGGAAGAGAAGAGGCCCTAGATTTTCCCTTACCCCGAGCTATGGTGCCGAGCACCAGCTCACAGAGGTGACTGAAACATAGTAAAATTTAAAGATATTCAATGTCCGTTTATTGATTTATCTCAATTTTATAAAGGTTTACACGTATCGTGCTACTGCTACAATGATTGAAGGAATCATTTTGGTTCTAATTTGCTACTGGTCACGTCCTCTCCAACAACTTTTTGGGCATCCCAATTAGTTAGCCGAGGTGCTTTGTTCAGTAACCACGTGGCTCTGTAATCCCTCAAGCTGTATGAAGGGGAAGACTTGTCAAGAGTAAAAGACCGTGGCCAACAACCCATCGACGCCATCTCTCTCTCATCTGAAATGCCAAATCTGAAAACCGCCACAACAATGATCGTCGTTAAGCTGAATAATCCTAAATTTCCCAAATTTTAAACTAATCTAAAAAGAAGGTAAAATGGTCTACAAATTTACTTAAAAGGGTAATTCTAACATTTTAAAAATTTCTAACCATCACATGTAGTCACATGACCGAGATAACAGACAAAACACTAACGGCAGGAACCAACTTTACAGTTTTTAAAAGTTAGACTACAGTGACAATTTGAATTTCTGGTACTAACTTGAAACTAACCCTAAAGTTGAAGGTACTAATCTGAAATTTTCCCTTAATATTAAACACTTATTTGCGAAAACGAGGCGAAGAAAGAGGTAGCCGACCCCCAGATTAATGGGAAGAAAAGGCCTACAATGAAGATCAAGGCACTTCACGAGGCATAGTAACGACATAAGATTCATAAGCAAATCACGTTGAATTTCCATTTTCATAATAAAAACATTAAAAAAAAAAGTTCATGAATCACGAGAGTGCAAGAGTAGTCAGTAGCTTTCCTATGTCAACTATCAAACCTCAGGTGTATATTGATAAAACACAGAACTAACAAAAGGTTGATAAGAATGATGAATCCATTATAAAATTCATCAAATCATTATTTGCATTTTGCAGCAGGAAACATCAAAGTTATCTTCTAAAACCAACTAGTTCGCATATCTACAGAGCTTGCAAAATTCTCATTTATCTATCAGTGTTTCCATCAATGGCTTGCAGAGATGTTGAGTAGGTACTCTCCAGTACCACTTCTCTATCCCACAACTACTTGGCATCCTTTGGATCATCTGGATTCTGGAAATCACGAAACTTCAGTAGCTATCTGGGTAAATCCAGCGCATGCGCTACAAGGCTAGGAGCTATGGTCAGTGATCAGGACATGTTCCATTTCCGTCCCTCAAGAAATGTACAAGCCACTTTAAGTCATTTATATAAGAAGGATTACAACTTACCATTGTATATGGCTTAGCAAGACAGCAGCCTGATACTATTGGCTCAGTTGGGAAGGAGTACAAATACAAATATATAGGTACAAATGCATATAAAATAATACAAAATACAATGATTTGCACTCTAAGACGACGTAGACAATGAAATAATACAAATTGCCCTGCTAAGTCAAGCCCATGGGCAATGAAACATCACGTCTAAGACGACGTAGACAATGCAATCACTCACCCTTGTCTATATAGCTTTTAGTCACCGGGAATAATCTTCTAATTGCTACTCTGATTTATTGCAAATTTTGGAGCAGACGAGGGCGAATTATATGACCTGGCTGAAGTTGCAAAAATTAAACAAAATACTGCAAAAGTTTCTGCAATGGTAAGAACAAAAAGTAAACCTCCAAAATTTATTTCAGTCACGCTGTCTATAGATGACACCAAATACTGTTGCAAAGGGTGTTAGGGATGAAAAGGATAATTTTGAATGATGACCATTTGGGAGCAAAATTATAGGTGAACAAATCAAAAACAAAAGCTTATGAGTTGATTGATAGAGTGGACTCTCATATTGCTCATTGGAAAGCTAAGTTGCTTTCACAGGTTGGAAGAACCACACTAATTAGAACAGTGGCCCAGTCCATAGTGAACTATACCACATGTCAAATGTTCTCCTTCCTAAGAAAATAACAAATAAATAAGAACAGGTTCAAAGAAGTTTTTGGCGGAAAGGTGAGACTGAATCATATAAAATGCATTGGATATAATGGGAAAAACTATGTAATCCAAATACTATGGGGGGACTGGGGATTTAGAAGGGAAGTTGAAATGGTATTGACCAAAAAAAGAAGAGTAGCTGAAATGAACAAGGCTATGTTTGGGAAGTAGGTATGGAGGCTAATTACTGAAAATGATGCATGGTGAGCTAGGGAAATTAAGGAGAAATACTTGATAGGAAAGTCAATCTTTAATCTCAAACAGACTTCATTTGATTCAATATGGTGGAAGCACACAATACAAGTGCTAAGAGAAATAAGAGTTATGTTGGCAAATAAAAGATGGAAGGCAGATAGATGTTGACTACGACCCTTGGGTGCCCACTTTATTTGGGGGAGTTTCTCACTGTGGAAGAAAGGAACCAACTGCAAAACAGAACACATAAGGTGCATGTTCTTCTCAGTCAAGCGGGCAGTGGAACACACAGTTGTTGGGCTTCACCACAGAATCTTTCCAGCACATTTTACAGATTTACCAAAATAGCAATTTAAATCAAGATCAATTTAAAGTAAATGAGTTACAATATATTTGCTTCAATATGCCAATGCAGAGCAAGGAGCAGAATTGAAGCTGAATGGTGAGCTGTTATAAGAGCCCTGGAGCTTCCCCAACATAAGAATTTCAAGAAGGTTCCCATTTTGTCTGATGTTGAAGCTATTGTGAAGCAGATAACCCGGCCAAAATTGGAATGTCATTGGACTGAAAAGACACTTAAAAGACTCTGTGAAGAACATGAATTCCCTACATGTCAAAGGATAAACAATGCTATGGCTCGTCATTTTGCTCTTTCAGCTTGTAAAAATAAGATGTATCTATGTACTAAAATTCCAGATCAGGGAATTCTTGTAAATATGTTTACATCTTTAATGAAAGGTTGATGTTTGTTAGAAAAAAGGGAGAATTATATGGTTAGGAAATTCACAATCTTTTGGAATCCTATCTACACCAAGATGTAATATGGTGTTCCCTGATCAGAACTATCTGCATTTTAATAGACACCGGTCACACCACATAAAACATAAAATTGAGCACACTTCACTAGGTAGTTAATCATGTCTTCATCTGCGAATTTTTTAATCTAGTGAGCAAAGCAGAGAGCAACAGGAAACAGAACAGATAATCTGGATTCACTCAGTCAAGGGAAAAGGACACAAAAGGCCACCAAACAAGTAACTTACAACCAACATACCAATAAAAATTGAAAGGTAAAGCTTAACTCTCAAACCTAATGAAACCGGAATGGAAAAACCTACACATATTAAAAACAATGAAGGTGATATTTTCCACATACAGCTTTGATCTCCTCTTGCCTTAAACCAATCAACTTAAGTTTTTATAGTTGCATTCTGCAGAACCCAGGCGGAATATTCAGAAACCATGATGGAAATATTCTAGCCCTTATTCTCTGGACCTAGATTAAGTTCTTGGGAAATATGAACATTTCATGATGGAGATAAAGCAATTGGACACGGGGTTGAGAATAAATTACAACTGGAGACCGACATCAGCCAACCGTATGGCTGATGCTTTGGCAAGGTAAGGGAGCAACCAGAAATCAATTGTAGAGGGGAGAGTAGCAAGTACTAGCCGTCTAGCCCAAACACGATGGTGCCTGGCGTATCCTTTGCGTCATTTTTATTACTTAAGGAATAGTTAATTTATATCTCTTTGTCCTCCCCTCTTCTTCTTTTTTTCATGTTAAGAAGGTACTGCACATTCTTGCATTGGTGAACACAGGAATAAGATACAGATCAATCTCAGGAACATAGATGTCACAATTAATATATTGAAGAAAAGGAAGAATATATATTCGAATATAAAATAAAGTACCATACTACTATCTTTACAGGAAGATATGCAGGGGAAACAATAGGAACTACAGTATTTGAAACATATATACATATATACATCGATTCAAGAATTTCCATTCTCCTCGATACCTAATTAACAATATGCGAAGCGAAACCTTGACCGCTTTAGCAGACCGAAACTAGTCTCATCGGGACCTTCTCCCTAGAAGGATCTCCAATGCCACCCGCCAGAGTCCGAACCATCCTCTTGAAGGCAAAATGCATGCAATTAGAAAGAACGATCCAACAAAGTACCTCGTATACGAAATCGAACGCAGGATCAGAAGATGATGACGATGACGACTCCTCCCAATCAGATCCTCCGAATCTGTCGAAATTCCACCCTCTACCACCATTGCCGCCGCCACTGCCTCCGCCAAACGGGCCATCATCGCCGTCACCGAAGAACCCATCCTTCTCGCCGCTGTCAGAATCCCCCGTCAGAGATCTCCTCCTCGTACGTCTCTTTTGCCTAGTGAGTGTCCGGGGAGCGGCTCTGTAAGAATTCGATCTGACTGTCGGCGGAGCCATGACATCCACAGGAGAAAATCCAGCAGAGATTGACAGAACGCCAGCGAGGGAGGAAGCATCGCATAGCGCAGAGAGATAGTTGTTGGAAGTACAATAATGGCGACGCAAATGAAATTTGGCAACCCCTAGACCTTGCGTTGCGGCTATTGTAACAGCGTCTGCAATGGCGGAGATCTCCATGATTTCGAATGGATATTGCAGAAATTCGATTGATTTCGGATATTTTATGTTAACAGAGAAATTCGATTCGGATCTCTGAAACGGATTAGGATTTCGAGAAGATCAGAAGATAGCGAATAAAGCCCTAATATTTAGGGGGAGAAAAATGAACCAGGGAAGACGAACACGAAAGACGACCTGGGAAGTGGGATGTAATGACCGATATTCGAGTGGAAGTCAAATTTGGAAGGCAACCATTGAAATCCCTCCCTTGCAGCAGGGAGCCACGCCACGAATTACGATACAAGTTTGAAAGACAAAAATACCCTTATAATTGGAAATTGACTTGATAAGTGATAACTGATAACCCAAAAGCCACCCAATGACCAAACCGAAACCACGGATCCAAAGACAAAGGACCACAACCCATGAGGAATCAAAGGACTTAGGGGTGTTAACGGTATTCGAAAATTCTAAATTTGATATTTAAAATAATGGAATTGAATTCGGATAATTCGAATATTTAATCGGTTGAATTCGGATATCTTATTTTTATTAAATAATTAATTAGATTCGAATTTGGATATGTCCTGATTCGATTGATAAACATTTTAATTTGACCTATTTATTAATTATTAATTAATCAAATTCGAATGGAATTCGATATTTGAATATTTAATCGGATTCGAATTTGGATATTAATTTTTAATATTCGTCGAATATCGAATCAAAATCGAATATTGGATTTTCTAATCGGATTCGAATTCGGGTATTGCATGATCCGATTCGAATTCGGCCCATTTACACCCCTACTCTGGCCTCTAGTCTAAGATTCATCACTTCATAGTTCATATAATCAGAGCCTGTTTGGTTCGTGGGAATAAGGGTTTGCAATCGGAATCCCATTTTCATTCTGGAATGGTCCCCCATTTGAAGGAATAAATAACCATTTCGGCATTTCCTTCCCTTCACTTGGATTGAAATCCCATTCCCGTTGATTTTAGGGAGAATGACGGTTCAGCCCAGGGTTATAATTTTTAGGCCCAAAGTATGGCGTAATGGTATAAAGTGTTGGTTTTTGACATTTTGAATGTTTATGGTTATGTAGTGAAAATTAGAAATCTGCATTGGGTATGTCCGTACTTTTCTTGATTTTAATTAAGGGAAATTCCTGATTAGTACCATATACTTTGGAATTAGTGCCATTTTGGTCTCCCTAACTTTAAAACACAATAATTCAGTACCCAAACTTTCAAAATGTGTCAATCCATTGCCTGCCGTTAATCAATCATTAACCGGCCATTAAGCGGCATTTGAAAAGACAAAAATGTCCTTCGAGTGTCATCTAATTTTCTTTATTAATCATCCAAATGTTGACAAAAAATGAATAGTCCTTTTCTCTTGTATTCAAGAGAGTTGGGGTCATGTCCCAATGTGCATTCTAGTGACCCCAACTTTCTTGAGTAGAAGATGCAAGGATTTGGGACTATTCATTTTTTGTCAACATTTGGATGGTTGATAAAGAAAGTTAGATGACACTCAAAGGGCATTTGTGTTTCTTCAAATGCCACTTAACGATTGGTTAAATGGCTAGTTATTGGTAGATACTAAATTGGCATGTTTTGAAAGTTCATGTATTGAATTGTCGCATTTTAAAATTTGGGGATCAGAGTGGCACTAGGCCCAAAGTACAAGGTACTAATCAGGAATTTTCCCTTCTAATTACTATTATGATTCTTACCTGAATCAAACAGATAATGGGAATAGACCATTTAAATAATGATTCTGATCAATTTTGATTATGATTCTAATTCCGATTTCATTTCCTATTGTGAGCTAAAGAGACCCTCAATCTTTTGCTTTTAGTATGAGGTCTTGGCTAAAAACTAAAACCCATTTTTGGTGATGGTTGTCGGTTTTGATAGGCCAACCATCTTCTCTAGTTTAAACTAAAATTGACAATACCCATATTTTGCAAGGTAAACTCGGTTATTTTTTAGAATTTTATTCAATCCAACTGAGCTTTGTTGCATGATATTTAAGGTGGTGTTCTATAATTTCAATGAGAAATTGGTGGATGTATACTAGTCTACACCACACTACTGTGCCAGGGACCAATCAGCGTCACACCATAGTCAACAATTGTTCTAAACTTTAGACTACATCTTTTGATTCCACACATCTCATATACAACTTGTTACATAGTTGACACACCACACTATAGTCAACAACTATTTTGAACTGTGGATAAAGTGTGTGGATTGAAATTGTCCTCACCCATAGGGGTGTTCTTTTGATTCCATGCATCTCATATATAACATATGAGATGATCTATACAGTCGATCGTGAATTTAAAAATTAATCACTATTTAAAGTTTCATCATGAAGATAATAGATAAAATCCCTAAATAAATATTTGAACTAGTAATATTGGAAAAATACTAATAACTAAACTTGTAGAAGATAAAGGAAGAGGGAAATACCAACAAGTGGTGTTGTTGAGAGAAGGAGGATTATCTGTTATGTGTTCTGTATGGCACACCTTGGATCGGACAACATCATATTGGCACTGTCTGTGGGAACCGGCACAAAAATCCTAATTCCAATCTTCTCTTTCTCTCTTCGTGCACCGAAAGCGATCGTGCATTCCCTCCGATCACTCTAGTGCTCACTCCCAATCTTGGGGATCCCATTCTTGACACAGTTCTCCCTCGTGAAGCTCGGCCACAAAACCAAGTAAATACTGAAGAGATCAATGCCCTACAGAAGAAGGTTGACCACCTCATCCTAATGATGGAAGCGCTGTGGCAGTAAGGTCTTGCCCCTACAATAGCGCAACTAGCCCTAAAAGTGCCTATAGTGGTTGATCCTCATGCCAAGGACCCAAAAGGCACCATGTGGATGCTCCAAGACATTTTGATGTGCTTGTCATACTGCATACACCAAGTGCTCTCCATGGTAATGGAACCCTAACGGCCGAGCATGAACACTTGGGATTCTTAGCTCACACTAGGTGAAGCAGGAATGGCATTCCCACCACTCATGGCTTGAAGACAACCAACGAAGACCACTCCATGGTGTCATAACAACCTTAAGGAGCCGAGGACCCATGGCAATCCCCTCGATCTAGTGTTGAAGAGTCAATCGAGCACCACGGTCAACCCATTAAGGAGTAGCCAACCATCTCCAATATAACTAGGCTCCACGAAGCCCCTTAAGAAACCTAAGAGCTTGGAAGTGCCTCAGTCAACTATGCTAGGGGTTGCCTGAGCCACCAAGTCCGAGACCTCGGCCACCTAACCATGAAGTTTGTGACCTCAGCCATCCTAAGACTTCGGTCACTTAACCATCAAGACCGAGACCTCAGCTAGCTTAAGACTGAGGCCACCTAGCCATAAAGTCTATGACTTCAATCATCCTAAGACTTTGGCCACCTAGCCATCAAGTCCAAGACCTTAGCCAGCATCAGACCAAGGCCACCTAGCCATGAAGTCTGTGACCTCGGTCATCCTAAGACTTCGGCTCCCTAGCCATTAAACCCGAGACCTTAGCAAGCATCAAGTTGAGGCCATCTAGCCATGAAGTCTATAACCTTGGCTATCCTAAGACTTCGACCACCTAGCCGTTAAGCCCGAGATCTCAACCATCACCAAATCGAGGCCACCTAGCCATGAAGTCCACGGCCTCAGTCATTGTAAGACTTCGACTACCTAACCACCAAGTCCGAGACCTTGCTCAGCATAAGACTAAAGGCCACCTAGCTGTTAAGTCCGCGACCTAGGCCATCCTAAGACTTCGGCCACTTACCCATTAAGCTCGAGACCTCAATTAGCATAAGACCGAAGGCCACCTAGCTGTTAATTCTGTGACTTTGTCCACCTAACCACCAAGCACGAGACCTCGATCAACATAAGATCAAAGGCTACCTAGTCGTTAACTCTGTAACCTCGGCTAGCCTAAGACTTCAACCAACCTAGGAGAATCAAAGCCAACCAGTGATTGATGTTGGTTCCATGGGGACCTCGACTCTTTCTTTGGTTTCCTCGACTCCTTGACCTCATCTTCGAGTTCCTCGGCCTCGACCAACTAGACCTCACCTTCAAGCTCATCGACCTTGGCTAAGTCGGCCCCACCTTTAGTCTCCTTGACCTTGGCCTCCTTGGCCTCGGCCAACTCGGCCTCACATTTGCTCTCTTCAACCTCAGTCTCATCTTTGGTCCCCTTGACCTCAACCACAGCCATGTTGGCATCTATTTTCAGCATGAGGTCGACAACCTCTTGTTGAGGATTTAATACAAACTCACTACTCGAAGCGGAACTATTGGAATGGGATGAAAAAGAAGAAGATGACGAAGAGGAAGACATCACACCAAAGCAAAGAGCATGGAACACCTGAAGCATCAAACCCAGTTCAACCAAGCTTTGACTATCTAGATAGATATACTAAGTTCATCAACCGAGCACCTCAAGAGCTCTTTCACTAGACCATGACTGAGCACCTCACTCATCGACTTTAGAACTAGGGGACAGGTGTTCAGGTGGTGCCCTAGCTGGTTGGAGCTGCCACATGGTCACCTCTGTGGTCGACGTCCTTAGACCACGTCAACGCACTGCTCACCTATAAGCATGGATAACTGTGTCACTAAAGACCTCGTATAGAAGTGAAGTCCCGCACGGATGAGGACAAGCACCCTTGTCGGGGATGCTAGAGCTCCCCAAAAACCTCGGTGGGCGACCTCATCCCAATGACCCTGTAATGAGTGTGTCTAGGTAGAACTCAGACACTCAATTATTCAAAGGCATCTCTCCTTAAGGTAAAGGTGCTTCAACTCTCAGAACTCTCTAAGTGCTCTAGTTCTCTTGCTCACTTACTATTCTCTTTGGCTAGACCCAACTCGGCCCAATTATCTACATCACCCCATTACTGACTTGAGCATCAGAGTGCCTTCACAAGGACTTCATCCCCAGGCTTCTAACTCTACCCTGTTTGCAGATCTCCTTAGTGCACGACCTCATACTTTCACCTCAACTTCATCTAGTAGTAGGATTATTTGTTGCAAGTTCGGTTCGACACACCTCGGACTATACAACATCAAATCTGTTCAAATTGATTTTGATTTAGATGGGATCCAACCTAAACCTAGTTCATTGAAATCCCTAGTTAAGGATGTAGAAATTATTTTTAGCAAGAAATACACGATCCTCTTGCAGCACCAAGATTACCACAAGCATGTAATAATTTCATGATGTTGACATCATT